TCGTTGATCGAGGATTAAACCAGTGGCATTTGAATATGATAGGCTTAAGAGGTTCGTCTCCATGAAATGAGAGTTCATAGATTTCCTCAACTCTACCATGATAGTCGAGGCCATTAGTGTCGGGCGTACAAACTCCGCTATTTGTGGTTTTTCGTTTGGGCCGAATCTGCTCGTAACTTGTTGTGTGGAAGCGATATCCATTCACGTCATAGCCGGTAAATGACTTCACCCTAACGTCACAACCATTTGCAACCTGTTTCAACTCGTCGCTCATGGACGAATCGGTCTAGGTCTGCAAGGTGAATCATGATAGATCGTTATATTAATCAAACATACGATCACCTTGGACGATCGAAGGTACGAGCTAAATTGGACATTACCTTTTGTTTGAACCAAGAAATGAAATCAGGCCTCCCCGCTCCCGCACCCCGCGAAACAAGGGTGTCTTGTTCATGCGAGGTAGGATCCCTTGATTGATGCCAGATTTCACGAACAAATTCCCTGTCCGAACGAGAATCAATGGGGTTGGATGCAGAATAGTGACGACATATTGAAATAAGTTTGTTGAGAACTTACTTGATGAGCGGCTGCACCTCGATAAGGTTATTCAACACATATAGCATGATACTACGCCACTTTTCATTTCCCAATAGCTTTGGGGTTGATCCACTTGCGCTGCCGAGTTGGCCTTGGAAAAGGCTCAGGGTCGATTCATTTTCGCCAGTATTGTAATGAGGGGGTGGATTATGATTGCTAGGAAGGTTCGGCTTGTAGTATAGCGTTGTGAAGTTTGCCACCTCCTCCTGAAGGCATGCCTTTGCAATGGAAGCCTCAATTCTGGCTTTATTTGTACATTTTTTGCGAAGAGTCTTTAGACATCTCTCGATTGGATAGCACCAACGGGCCTGCACGGCCCCCCCCAAACGTGCCTCGAACGGGAGGTGGACAATCAGATGTTGCATCGGCAAGAAGAAGCCGGGTGGAAAGACGGATGTACCATCTTCCCAGGATTGTACCGTTTGCCATCTTTGTGCCATGTCATCTGTTTCACGGATTCCTCAGTCATGAATAGCCGTTGGATCCTCGGTAGGAAAGGAAGGTGCTATAGCACTCTCGCAGGGATCGGAAGCTGTTTCTTCTGACCATCACCAGAGTCTACCTCCAAGTACCTGGAGGATTTACACTTCGGACAGTAATTTGCATCCTTGTGTTCTTTCCTAAATAGGACGCACCCCTTCGGACAAACATGTATCTTGTCATACGGCATCTTAAGCATACAAAGGAGTTTCTCTGCCTCGTACAAGTTCATCGGCAAAGTGTGCTTCTCCGGTAGCATGGTGCCAAACACGGCCAACATCTTATCGAAGCCTTCTCGACTCAGGTTTAACTCGGCCTTCAACCCCATTACGCATCCAATCGCATCCAGCTAAGAAATCATTGTACGCTCGTGAAGGGGTTTCTGTGCCGAGTCCAACATTTTGTAGAAGTCCTTTGCGGATTCCTCCATCTCCTCCTTCTCACGTCGTTCAGCGAAGTGAGCTTGGTGGGCGTCATCTAGCATGTCTGCTACCCCGGCATCATCATCAAAAGCCTCGAGGCGTGGTCTCACCACCTCCGCTCTTATACGATCTGCTTCACCATGGTAGATCCACTGCTAGTAGCCAGGCGTATAACCATTGAACACAAGATGTCTACCCATGGTCTTCTCGTCTACTTTTCTCCTGTTGTCACATTTGCTGCAGGGACACCAAACTAGAGAATGTCCTCCTGCTCCTGGGCCAAATGCATGTTTCAAGAAACCATCTGTCCCCTTCACCCATTCATAGTCGTAGTCACTCCCGCTTCTCCAGCCCATGTACATCCACTGACGGTCCTCCATCCTTTAACATTTGCAGCATAGAGTATTGTGACCATCAATTGCATCTACGCGGTGTTCCTACTGTCTAATAGGTGAGGATAGGTCCTAATCCCACCCGTGGATGCGTAGATGAGGTCAGTTTCCATGCTCCGCTCCTCTTCGAGACAGAATTTCAGCAGCACCTCCCCGTTGTTCTCTCGATACACATCCTGCAAGGGAGAGTGTGTATCCAGAGAACAACAGGGAGGTGTTGCCGAAACTCCTTCTCGGACCGGAGTGGACCATGGAAACTAACCCATCTACGCATCCACGGGCTGTCCAAAAATGTGGACAATTCGAAATAGATACGGTCGCAGATACGCAAAGATCCGCATACCTACGACCATATCTCTTTCGGACGGGAGACGCCTAACTGGGTTACGCGCGGGCTACGACAGACATGCGCAAAAAGAGGTTATTTATACCTAGGGTGTCGGTGAAGTAAGGCTAGCGGGCAAAGGGCGAATCGACGCAGCGGCGAGGCGACGCAGCGGCGTGCAGAAACCGCTGATGTCGATTTAAGACGATCGGGTCCTCCGGGTCCCTCCGACGCACTTCTTCTCCGCATAAAAAGACAATAGATTATTGTTTGTTCAAAATTTGGCAGACTCTCCCCGCACGGGGAGGTTTCCAAAACCTGCAAAAAACGACATGATGGCCGACATTCACAATGGCACGAAGGCCGACAACCACAACGGCACGAAGGCCCTCATATCAACTTACGGCACGAAGGCCCACACAACCACATACGGCACAAAGGCCGACAACGAGAGTTTTACCTAGGGTTGCGGTGGAGTCGGGCGTCGCGGTGCGGGGGTCACTTTGTTCTCCGGCGAGGTCGAGCGGCGTTGGAGTACTCCTCTCCCCCTCTTCCCTTCTTCTCTCTCTTTTCTTCTTCTTCTCTTCCTTCCTCCTTCCTCCTTCTCCTCTCTCTTCTCCTTCCTTCCTTCTTCTTCTCTTCTCTTCTTCCTCCAACTTCACCCTATGCCTCCTCCCCTCCAACAGCAACCGGCGACGGGGGCGGCATGGGGGCTAGGGTCGGGGCAGGAAGGCCGGCGAGGGGGGGCCACCGGAGGGCAGGCCTGGGCGGCCGACCTCCCCTTGCTCGACGGAGACGGGGAACGGAGGCAGGGCGCGACCTCGGCCGCCACTTGGCGTGGTGGGGCGGCGGGGCGCGCTGGGCGGCCGAGCGCGGGGCGGCGGGCGCTGGGGCTGGCGGCAACATGGGGCGCGGGCGGTCTGTGGTGGTGGGCTGGGCGACTGGGTGCACACACGGTGGTGGGGCGCGCGGGGCTGCTGCCGGCTCGGGCGGCCGGGATCTGCTGCTGCACATGGGGTGGGGCCGGGCAGGCAGTGCCGGCAGCTGGGTGCTGTAGTGCAGGCGGCGGAGCTGGCGGCGGAGCGCTGGGAGGCTGGCGGCGGGTGGGTGCGCGGTGGTGGTGGTGGACGCCATGGCCATGAAGGGCGCATGGGGAGGGAGATGGTCGATCGGCATTTTTTTTGACAAGATTTCGATCGGGAATTTGGGCTGCGGCCCGATTTAGGTTTGGGCCCTTTGCCGAGGGCCCAGATCCAGGGCCCTCGGCAAAGATTTTTTTTATTTTTTTTAAAAAAATTCTTTGCCGAGGGCCACGGGCCAGGCCCTTGGCAAAGAGCCTCAGTAATTTTTTTTTAGCCCAGTTTTTTTGTGGTGCTACAATACATTGTTTTGAACTCAATTTTAAAATTTAGGCCAATTTTGACTTTTTTTTGTATATTTCCTTAATTTATTTCGATTCTTTGATTTTTTTCAATATGTTAAATTTAAACTGCAGGTGCATGGAATATTGCAATGTAGTGTTTCGAAAAATGTTATTCATGTTAATTGGTGCATGTTGAGTCCCCATCCACGAACTCGCATCAAATTTCGCGCATCTTGTTCGCGTAACATGACGACGGACTTGCGGAAAAGTGTTTTAAAATTATATAAAATCCATACCAAGTCCGAAAATCACGAAACTTGACGAGATGTCATGTTATCGCATGTGTAGGCTGTGGTACATCTCGCCAAGTTTCGTGATTTTCGGACTTCGTATCGATTTTATATAATTTTAAAACACTTTTCTGGCAAGTCGGTCGTCATGTTACGCGAACAAGATGCGCGAAATTTGATGCGAATTCGTGGACAGGGACTCAACATGCACCAATTAGCATGAATAACATTTTTCGAAACACTACATTGCAATATTCCATGCATCTGCAGTTCAAATTTGACATATTCGAAAAAAAACAAAGAATCAAAATAAATTAAGGAAATATACAAAAAAAATCAAAATTGACATAAATTTTAAAATTGAGTTCAAAACAATGTATTGTAGCACCACAAAAAAACTGGGCTACAAAAACAAAAAAAATTGCCGAGGGCCTGGCGCGTGGCCCTCGGTAAACAATTTTTTTTAAAAAATAAAAATCTTTGCCGAGGGCCTATCCTGGCCCTCGGCAAAGGGCTTCTTTAGCCGAGGGCCTCGCCTCGGGCCCTCGGCAAAAGACGATTTATATAAAAAAAATTTGGCCGAAAAACTGGTTTAAAAAAATCTTTGCCGAGGGCCTGGTCTAGGGCCCTCGGCAAAGACTTAAAAAAATTGCCGAAAAACTGGTTTCACAGAAAAAAAAAAAACCTTTGCCGAGGGCCTAACGGGCGGCCCTCGGCAAACCTTGACGGGAATGGCCACCGTGACCCAACGGGCCTAATTTGCCGAGGGCATCTTTGCCGAGGGCCGCGGCCCTCGGCAAAGATTTGATTTGCCGTGGGCCTGTCTTTGCCGAGGGCCGTTCTTTGCCGAGGGCTGCTGTGGATGGCCCTCGGCAAAGAGTGTCTTTGCCGTGTGCCCGAGATTTGATCCTCGATAAAGCCTCAGGCCCTCGGCAAAGCACGCGGTTCCAGTAGTCTCAGGACGGTCGACGTCGATATATGAGTCCGAGAAGGTCGATCGGACGGACGTGACTAATCCAAGTCCGATCCTAATCGTCCGTGCTACGTACTACGCCCTTGCTAATAACATACACAGCAAGGCCCGGCCGAGACCAATCTGATGAGGATCAGCTCGAGCGAGGGCTTGCCACCATGATGGGTTGGGACGAGCTCGGCCATTGGATCACATGGGGACTAGTCATCTTCCTGGCGCTGGTGGCCGTCGCCGTGCTTATCAACGTCGTCTGCCAGGCGATGTATGCCTTCGGGCGAAGCCTCCGCGGCGGCACCAAGATGCCGGCGCTGTCCCTCGAGGAGGTGCTGGAGAGGATACCGGACGTCCCGTACCAGGAGCTCCCTGGTGGCGCCGGCGGCGCGGCGGCCGACGACGATGATAGGGAGACGTGTGTCATCTGCGTGGCGCCCTACGAGCCCGGCGAGACCTTCGGCGTCCTGCCGGGGTGCAGGCACGTGTTCCACAAGCTCTGCGTCGCTAAGTGGCTGCGGCAGAACAGCACCTGCCCGCTCTGTAGGGCAGCTTTCACCGTGACTGATGACGCGCGACAGGGCAACGCCGTTAGCGCCGTAGAGAACATGGTCTAGCTCATCTCAAATTTTTTTCTTCTTTTTCTTTTGTAAGGAAAGCTAATGTCCAAAATGCAATGGTCTGTGATCATCTCTGAGATGATTGAGAGGCTGATAATATTATTAGTTATGTTGTCTTAGTTTGGAACAGTGTTGTAAATAGTGGACTATAGCACCACTGCAGTGTTTTGGACAGGGTGCCGCTAAGGTATTGTATATTACCGCTATTTTCGCTATAATAAGCGCTATTTCAGCATTAACGACGCCAGACTCTTTAGCGGTGACATAATTTAGCGGCGCTAAATGTGCAGTCAGCCGACCTACCAAGAAATGAGACCCACCAAAATTTTCATTGGCCCAAATCTAGTACAAGTGTGTTTACAAAATGTAGGATCTCCAGTTCTCCCCTCTGTATTCTCTAAGGCCACCCTATGAGTTGTGAATCTTTTAAGGCTTTGTTTGGATGCGTATGTATTCATCTTAATTCACATGTGTTGAAGTAGATTGGAGTGAAATTAGACTAAGTTCAATTCCAATACACTCCAACACATGTAGATTGAAGTAAATACACATGCATCCAAACAAGACCTAAAGTGGCACGGTGATGGTGTGCGTCGAGAGGCAATAATGGTCGTGAACTACGAACGGCAACTATGAGAGGGAAAGAATGGGTGCAAAAGTGTGCCACATCATCTACTAACATTAATTTATGATAGTTTATCCCTTCATATAAGTAATTATATGTAATCTAATTTCGTTCGAAATCATTCGCCGTGGCAACAGGTGGGATATGTTTCTAGTAACAACTAATGCTTACGTCTCCTAACATTAGCACAGTTCAGACTAGTTATTTATAATCAAAGTTTAATAAAAACTTTGTCTCAGAGCAAACCTCATCCAAAACAAGCATTTGCAAAAGCCAGGGAACACGTACACATTTCCTACTCAGCCGCCTGTACCTGAACTACAAGTGGACGCGTTTCTTATTGTCGTGACCAAGCTAGACTTATGGAGTACAATCCAAACTCGTAAATCTTTTAATTTGTTTTTGCTTGCCGGCCGAGACGGGACGTGGGCGGGTTCCTATGGAATACGCGTAGTAGTTGCTGTTTTGGCCCTTGCTTAGTAGCTAAGCATAGAAATTGCACGCGAGACTTTGGCGGGTTAGAGCATATTCGACAGACTTTATAAATCTTACTTTCTAAATTATTATTTGAAAAATCATTTACATAAAAATTGAATTCTATATTTTTTTATTCACCAACAGCTTTTCTATATCTCATACTCTACAGAGAGTCATTCTCGTCTTCTATTTTTCGTTAGCGAGAAATCCGGAATAGAAGATAGCTATATTTGGATAACCATTTAAAAAAGTTGTTGGAGGGTAGTTTTTCAACAAAATCTCTATTCCTAGCATTTAGGAAGGATATAGAGAATGTCTCGGAGTTGCTCTTATGCAGAACCATATTATACCAGCCGAAAGTAAATGTGTTGTTGGTCCATTATTGGCTCGTGCAGTAAGTGCCGAATTCAGAGCATAAGTAATCACTGTGAGTGTTGTGCTAACTCCACCTAAAATTGGTCTTTTCGGTTAAGTGCCGGAGGAACTAATTCGGTTTGACTAATAGCTGCATACAAGCTTTGGTTTCACTGCTGCAGATTTGGTTTTTATCAACACCTCTATTTTTTAATAGAGGTGGCTTAATAATCAGCCGCCTCTATAAATCACTACTGAAACAAGCCGCCCTCATAAATACAGCCGCCTCTACAAATGCCCCTATCTTTAGAGGTGGTTCTAGATGTAACCGCCTGTACAACTGGATTTCTAGAGGCGATTGTATCTAGAGCTGTCTCTAAAAATCGTTTTGTAGAGACAGCTAGATCCAGAGCCATCTCTAAAAATAGATGCAACACAGTAAAACTCAATGTTTTTTAAATGACACTGGATGGAGAAATGAACAAAACCAAAGTTATAGATCTCGAAGAGTTACACAACTTCATAGTTCAAATGGTAATGTTGTTCAAATGTATGCAACGTTTATAGTTGTCAACCTTAGCCTTTAGCAATTTGTGAAGGTCCTCGGTGAAGGGACCGTGACGCCTAAGATCTGAGGGGTGTTTGAATTAGACTTTCTAAAAATCTATTTCTAAAACTATGGCTTCTAATTTTTATCTAGTTCAAACCAATGCAATAAAATAATCTATTTAGATGTGTAACTAAGGTTTTTCTAGGTGTGTTGCTAAACCTACCACAAAAGAGTTATGCAACATAAGTTCCAATCCTATCAACTAGGCTAGCAAGCTAAACTAGAAATGTAAGCACACAACTTAGGTACACCAATTAAATGCGAAAGCTTAAATGAGATACAGATGCAAACTCCCATCGATGACTCCGATATTTTTATCGAGGTATCAAGAAACTCATGCTTCCTCCTAGTCCTCGTTGAGCCCCTCGCAAGGATGCCCTTGCTAGGGCCAAGCTCCCGGTCAGGTAACTCCGTGGATAGCCTTCGAGCCTTTCTCCACACGCAAGTGGGTCTCTGAGATGGCCTCTCTCGTATCACTCCCTGTCGTCTTCACTACTGAGCTTCTGGCCAAATCGTCGCGGGCCTCGTTCCCTCCGATACACGGTGACGGCCACACCACAAACACACAGTTGGTGTGGTCTCACAAGGCTGCAAACCCCTCCGATGTGCAACAATAGTGCACGCAAGCATCAAGTGGTAAGAGGTATGTAAATCTCACTCAACACTAGGTCTAAATCTAGAGCAAACGCATTAACGGTGGTCTAACTAGCAGTCTAAGTACTTCGCAAAGCACCTCTACTCTAATCACATAATATTTTCATAAGCACTTTTGGTGGCTAGAGCATAAATGGATGAGCCTCAACTCTCCACACACTTCCCTCAGCTATAGTACACTTGATTGATCTAATGGTCCTAGAGAAGAAGCACTGGACTATAAGGTGCTACTGTTTATTTTAGTTCAACGAGCACCGGATTAATTCATTGATCACCGGACTAATTATTGTGTAGCACCGGATTAATCCACTGCCCTATTCTCAACACGACACACTTTCATATTTTGGACATAACTTTTAGCTTTAAACTCCGATTTTGATAATCTTGGACTTTTTAGAAAGCTAATGAAAAGCTCTACAGCTTTGAACCCATGTCATATCAGTTTGAGCAGATCCAAAATCTTGATACAAGATCAATTCATCCACCTCTTTATCTCGGGTTCAGTGGCTTCAACTTCATTTGTGTCTTTGTGCCCGGGCTTCTATTTCTTGGTATCTTAGACTTTTAGTATGTCTTGCAGGTCTTCAACATGGCCAACCTTACATCCATTTGAGCTTAACCTTGTATACTAAAAAAATGGTGTTAGTCCAAATGGCTATGTTGTCATCAAACACCAAAATCCAACTTAATGGTCCATATGGTCCAGTTCCCTTACACTCGGGAAGTTGACCGATGGACGTCGGTGAGATGATGTTGTCTTGGTTCGTTGGATCGGACGGATCACCCTTCTTGCTATTGTCATCCAACATGTTGCTAGTAGATCTCTTCTTCTTTTTCTTCACTAGTAGAGTCATTAAAAGGCACTTAGGGTCACACACTAGCAACGGCTACCATGCCCGAGGCCGCACAATGTCTAGCACACAACAGAGATAGGTCAAAATAGCTAGGCCAACCAGCAGGACGGGCAGACAAACCTGTCACCTGGTCTTCACCCAAAAAGCTTAAACACCTTTGGAAAAGACCCATCAGGGAAGGGCAGAACGGGGTTGCTAGAATAATAAAGTGCATAAACTTCTCCTAGGAGCCACCTTTGCAAATCTTCATTTCGGGTTTGGAAGCGGCGAAGCGCATGATATAGATAAATATTAGTGCTCTTTTTTATAAATTTCGTGTCATAAATAACCACTACCGGATACAGGAACTTTGCCGAGTGTTACACTCGGCAAACCCTTTTACGGCAAACGCTAGTTTGCCGAGTGTTTTTTGTCGTGCACTCGGCAAAGACGTTGCCGAGTGCCCAAAAAACACTCGGCAAACATTTTCGGCAAAAAATAAAAAAAAACAATTGCCACCACCGGCCGCCGCCCACCACGGCTGCCACCGGCCGCCGCCTCCTCCAGCGCCCAGATCCGCCACCACGCCGCCGCGAGCACACCCACGCACCACCACCACCACCACCACGCCACGGTCGCAGATCCGCTGAGAAGCTGCTGGAGGTGCTCCTCGGCCAGATCCACCGCCGCTGGAGGTGGTCCTCGGCCAGATCCGTCGCCGAGCTCAAGGGAGAGGGAGGATCCGCCACCGCTGGAGGTGCTCCTTGGCCAGATCCACCGTAGAGCTCGAGGGAGAGGGAGGATCCGTCGCCGGGGTACGCCGCCGCCCGCACCCGAGAGGGAGGCCGCGTCGCCCCACGCGATGCCGCCACGGGTGGGCCACCACACTGAGGATCCGCCGGGGCCTGGCCTGGATCCGCGGGGCCCCGCCATGGATCCACCCGGCCTCGGCATGGATCTGTGCCTCCGAGCGCTGTGAGGGCCGCTCCGCCATGATCCGCGCCGGAGGGAGGAGAGAGGACGCCGCCACGGAGGGAGGACGGCGCCGTGAAGGAGGGAGGAGAGGGCGTGCAAGAGGGAGGAAGGAGAGGGCTAGAGGGAGGGAGGGAGGGAGGGAGAAGAGGGCCGGAGGGAGGGAGGAGAGCGCCGGAGGGAGTGAGGGAGGAGAGGGCGCCGTCGGGAGGAGAGGTGGCGCTGGGGGAAGGGAGGAGAGAGAAGGGGTGGGGACGGGAGGCGAGGGGTGCTGGGGACGTGGTTAAGTAAGGAAATTTTTTTTGTTTGCCGAGTGTGTCATATGGGGCACTCGGCAAAGTTTTTTTTCCATTTTTTCTTCTCCTTTTTTTTTGCCGAGTGTTCTAGATCTGAACACTCGGCAAATTTTTTTGTTATTTTTTTTCTTCTTTTTCTTCTTTAGAAAAAATATTTTATTTCTTTGCCGAGTGTT